CCTGAATGTCAAGGTGTTATAAAAAGATAAAACACGCCTTGCACAGGTCCATAGCCTGCTGCCCGGCGGGGCAGTCAAGGCAGGCTTTGTGGAGCCAGTTTCATTACTGGAGAGCCTGATAAATGTGCCAGCACTAGTAGCCTGGAGATTTCTTTCAGGCTCATGCTGTGAATCCACTCAAGCACAGAATATCATTATAAGGCTTTGTTACTATTAGTTTTTCTAATTTTTCAATTATACATTTTTTTAAAATTTATTTTGAGGAATTAGCGAGCTCATGGTATTAGCATTAATTATTCACTGCAATTTAGATGGACCTAACAGAGTCAAGTTTGCCAAATACAAAGGAGCCCAGGGTTTAAGGCTACAACACATCCTTCCTTCTCCTACTGAAAATGGGGTGCAAAGTATAAAAAATCTGACATTTACCTGTGATTTGTCTATTAGTGGGTTCAGGATTTCTGAGAGAATGAACAAGCATTATAGAGTCATTTAACAGTTTTGGCATCAACTTTATGTTGGGCCTTTATTATCTTTGGAAGGTAAAGCCTAAGCAGTTACAAACTTATTTTAAAATTTGTGATCATAAACGTGAGATGCTAATGAAGTTAACAGTCAATCCAGAGGGGCTCTCTTCCTTTTAAAAATACATCCAATGACCTTCCATTACTACCATTCATTCTTCAGTAGGAACACTTACATACAACATAAAGATTTGTGCCAGGCGGTGGTAGATCTCGCCCATATTCCCAGCACTTGGGAGGCAGAGGCAAGCAGATCGAGACTATCCTGAGAGAGAGTTCCAGGACAGTCTCCAAACCTACAAAGAAACCCTGTCTCAAAAAACCAACCAACCAAACAAACAAAAAAAACACAAAGATTTGTAAGGCACCAATGACGTGAATAATACCTTCAGGTTAAAACTCAAAAGAACCGAAAGGATATGGGATGCATTTTGTATGCTCAAAAATTCTTCACAGAAAGCCTCACACTAGTGCTTATCAAGTCCCCTTGCACAGAGAGCAGCCTCAGTTGGAGCTTAACTGTCAAGGCGGCTACCCAGGGTGAGGTGCAGGGCTTCTGCCTTGCATTTGTTCCAATTACTTGACAGACTTACTGAAACTGTGTTAGGACAGAGGCATAAATTATGGATAAATGAGCAAATATATGTGCTAGGCTTTTAGTTTATGATTGATATCAAAACAGCAACTTGAGTAATTAGATTTTGAAAGTAATTCGTAGGAAAGCAATAACAAGTAAAGTTGGGAATCTGCCATTCGATTATTTAATTTCTTTCTCCTGTCCTGACTATAAATCAAAAACATTTTAAAAACTGATTTACAAATTCCTAGAGAATTTGGATTCAAATGAACTAGGTTATGTTCATTGCAGTCACAGGTTTCAAGGAAGTGTCATGTAGTCGATAAGGATGACTGACCACAGCTCTGTGAATGGTGTTTGTAGGAGATGGGAAGAAAATTAAGGCTGGATGATCAATTTAAAGACATACCAGTGTGACACAGAGTGCCATGACCTAGTGTCTTTTCACCATATTCCTCATTTGGTCCATACCATCATTGGGTTTGTTTGTATTTTGGCCTCTTCTACTAGACTGAAACCCTTGGCAGGGATATGTTGTGGAATAGTCTTTTTGTACACTGTGAATATGCATCACTCTGATTGGTTTAATAAAAAGATGAACAGCCAGTAGATAGGCAGTATTTTGTGGAACAGGGGAGGCTGGGAAGAAGAAGGGTGGAGACATCAGAACACACCGAGCAAGCAGCATGGGCTTTACAGAGTAAAGGTAACAGAGACATTTTAAAGAACATAGATTAAAAGGTATGGCTTAATTTAAGTTATAAAACTAGTTAGAAACAAGCCTAAGCTATCGGCCAAGCTTTCATAATTAATAATCTCTCCATATGGTTATTTGGGAGCTGGCAGTTTGGGACAGAGAAAGGCTCCTTACAGAGATAATATCTTACTCATCTTTGGCTTATCATAGGACAGCAATGTCATACCATCAGGAGGGATACAATGGACATGGATGCTGATCAAAATTCTCCTCACCACTTCTCAACCTTCCCAGTCTTCCCCATCATCTTGTCCCTAGTTATCTCCATGCCCACCCATCTATGTCATCTCAATTGCTCAGCTGGAGGTGGCATCTCTGCTCTCCAAATCTGAAGTTCATTGCGTGCCTACAACCTTTGCTACAAGAAATTCAGACAGTCCACAGAGCCTACTTCACAGGTATCCTTCTCAGAATCTACCAAGCATCTGGTACTCCACTTAGAGTCTCCCATGAGTGAGTGGCCCGTCCCAACCTTCTAGGTGTTGACTTTGGCACCCAGCACCCAATCAGACTGCATCTGCATTCTCAGTTGTTTTGCAGGCAGCTATTTACTTATTGATATTTCCTTCACATCGTAAATATAAAGAGACACTGTCCATAATATCCAGCTGGATATTACCTTTTCCATCTTCAGCACAAAGTGACTCATTGTAAGTGTGAGCATCTGGCCACTTCATAAGGCCTCCTAGTTCACCTAGTCAAAAAGATCTGAGATCTTTATTAGATTTTTTTTGTAGGCAGGTTTCATCACATATACATTTTATTTTAGGATTTGTTATAGCCATGGGGGTAGCAGGCCATTTTATTATTGTGAGCTATGGTTTTAATGGGTCCCTGAAAATGCTAGAAAGTTAATTCCTAATATTGAATGTTGAGAAGTGGGCCTTTATGATGTGACTGGGTCATGAGGATGTCATGCTTCTGACGATATTATGGTTGTTATAGCAGTGGATTAGTAGTCTAGCCCCCTGAACTCTCTCATCTCTTTTTTTCCAGTAATTGATTTCCCAGCCTCTAGAACCCTGAGCCAAATAAGCTCCTATTGTTTGTAATCTCCTGTCTATGGCGTTCTGTTTTGCAGTGGCAGGAAACAAACCAAAGCAGTTTTCTTATATTACAAAAAAGAAACAGGGCAGTAGAGAAGAAATGTTGTACCAAAGATAGATAGTGTATTGAGTAGCCTTCTTTCATGATCACAATGTCGGGACTGGCTCACCTACACCTCTGCTAATGGGGTTGACTCTATTGTGCTGTCCACAGAAGATGTAGGACCTTTTCTCCTCAGTGCTGCAGTAGGAAGGCACAGCTCTCCCGCCCTTCTGACCTCAGGTCCAGTTCTCCCACCTGCTTCAGACATTGATGGGCGACGTTGATAGGCACGGGTGGGGGAGTGCCGCCAATAAGGGGATATCTCTCCCCCTGCCCATACCACCACATGACGGATGAGTAATGGGGACAATTCTCCCATACTCACAACTTTGGGGCTGGCTCACCACACTTTGGCCAACAGGATTGGCTCCATTGTGTGGCCCAGGCCAAGAAAAATTCCAGTGAGGGTCCAGCAACAATAGTGTAACAGAAACCAGAGGTCTCAAACCAGACCAATGACTCTTGGAAATGAATACTTCCAAGTAGAGATATATGGACAAAAGGGTTTACTGCATGACTCTTACTGTGTCACACTACAGCTTCCATGATGATATTTTTTTTCTTTTAAATTTTATTGGGGGGGTTACTGCAAGGCAGAGGGTGATACAAAGGGATGGGAAATGAACGGGATCCAGATGCATGATGGGATAGACACAAAGAATAAATAAAAGGAAAGTTAAAAAAAGAAGTAGCCTTCTGGGGCTGGTGAGATAGCCCTGCAGGTAGGAATACTTCCATGCAAATATGAAGACCCAAGTTTAAAATCCCAGGTTCTAAGGGAACAGCTAAACATTGCTGTGTGCATGTATAATCCCTGTGCATGGTGAGCCAACAGAGGGTCTCTGGGGCTTGTTGCTGTCTACCTTGAGGTACAGTGAGAGGCTTTCTCTTTAAGGAACAGGTGGAGGGTTATAAAGCAAGAGACTCCTTACGACCTCCTCTGGCCTTCATACTAGCATACATACCTATAAACACATGTGCATATCATACACACACAAGTAGACTTCTGAGGTTAATTTACAGCTGCAGCATACATGTTAATTCACATTCTAATACCCTGAATTTTTCAGTTCACCATATATAAAAGGAGATAAAATAAGCTGGCCCAAGGAAAGCATTTAGTACCATTTTCTCTTGTCATAAATTGTCTTTTCCCTTACCTGGGAGAAGTATCTCTTCAAGCTAGCATTGTCTAGTCCCTCAAGATCCTTATACAGACTATATCTGAACGACTGGGAGTCAGATAGATTCCCCGATAGTCAGGGAGAGGGGGCATGGCTAGGTAAACAAGATGGTGAGTGTCTCCTCCCTCATCCTCCTTACCAGAGAAAAGTCTGGCAGCTTAAAACATGCCCTCCTGACAGGAGGGTCCCTGCTGAAGGACTGGCTCAACATGTTCAAGGCTGGATCAGGACATGTGTTCACGATAGTTGTGGGTCAATCAGCCATCCTGCCTTCTTCAAACTGACCAAGCCCCGCTCTGCTCTGTGGAAGGTCTTTCATTCCACGTGCTTCCCACTTATGGGTTTCCTCACCCCTAAGAAAAACCTTTCTTTCTTGGCTGCTTCTGGCTGATCCACTCTGCTGTGTCTCAAAATTTCCCAGCTGTTACCTGTTAACGCTCAAGAAGTTCCAGCCTTTAAATTCTTTAACTGACATCGAAAATGACTCGATCCAGAACCCTAGACATAACAGAACTATGGGGCTTTTTAGTGGTGTAGGGTGGGGATTGAGATCCTCCGAGTCAGTGCAGGGACAGACTGAGCATCTCTTTGTGGCCCTGTTGTTCTACATGGCTTCAGGACTCAATGGTATCTACTTACTAGCAGCTCATATTTTTCTCATCCTGTGTAGCAGCAGCAGCAGCAGCTACTGCCTCAAGGAGTTACCTCTGTGTGCTTGTGGGGTGTGTGTGTGTGTGTGTGTGTGTGTATGTGTGTGTGTGTGCACGCGTGTGAATCATCCTAAGCAAATATACTTAGGAACAACTGACCTGTAATCCCACGAAGAGCCCTCGGTGGTTCCTCCAGTATTGAGAGATTTTTCTCACGGGGTGTGAGGGCCAGTTTTTCTCTGACAGAGTCAGGGGATGAGCTGTCCTTCTCACAGCCATTCACGTGGCCATTTTGCATCAGTGGTACCTGTGGCTGCAAGGGCCCCACCTCTGGCCTCTCCACCTTGTCCTTAGCATCTTTGTTGCCTTGATGCTGCTTGGACTTGCTTCTTTTCCTTTTATTATTCTATAGCGAGAACAAATGGGAAAACAGTACTGTATTCAGCAGGGGCTCTTAAGCATAAAGTAAAATAAGACATTCTGACACCTGGCATTTAATAGAATGGGTGAAAACACATTTTTATTAAATACCCAGATTAATCTAAATATTGTGCTTCTAAAGCAAGTTGTTTAAAATTTTACCTTGAGATTGTTGTAAACAAAAAGTTCCCTTAATTTGAAAGGAAAAAAAATACAGGAGCAATAATTAAATAGCAGGGAGGTAATTTAAGCATCTTAAGAAAGACTCTTCGGGTAGGGATGACAATATAGAAAACTAATGGCTCTAGAGGAATTGGTGATATTAAGAAATAGCTCTTGCTTCTTGAAGCAGTTCAGGACCAGGTGGCCACCTGAACACTCAGGTTCCATTATCTGGGGAAGAAGTCAGAGTGACAGGTATAAGGTTGGCTACCCATAGCAAAAGGAGTATTATGTAGTAGTTTCCTGAAACATTCCACCCAGCAGGAAGCTCCTGAAGTAGCTCTGGAAGTCCCTGAAATGGACTAGATTCACTAGGTCCCTCCCTCCTAAGAGAAAACAATATACTGTAGGGAGTTCCTCTCAAATAAGTAAACTGCAAAGAAGACTTGGAGACTAGCCAAGCTGGCTAGAAGAAGCAAAGACCAGCTGAGCTGCCAGGAGGAGGCTCAGGCCAACTGAGGCACCTGGAAAGGACAATGTCCAACCTGTTGAGTGACCTGCAGACTGTGCAGTGTGCTCCAGTTTCCCAGCTTTGGGAGCTGTCACCCATGCTGGGGCGGGCTTTGGTGATGCAGTTGTCTTTGAGTCACTTCTTCTCCTGCAAGTAGCCCCTCACCCATACTCCTGTAATTAACCCCAATAAAACCTATTGGTTCACCAGTTAGACTTTGGTGCTATGCCTGCTTTGAACAGACATTTTTATTTGTCTCCTCAGGAGAAGTCTGTTACACAACAAGAGGAAACACACAACAAGAGGAAACACCAAGTAGGACTAACTTGGATGTCTGCAAAGGCATTGACCAATCAGGGAAATACAGGGATTGCTGCCATCTTCCAGCAAATCCCAGGCAGCCAGAGCTGGGGCAGGACTACTACAAGGTAATTGCAGATTTGTACACTCCACCTGGACCCAGGACCTCTCAGCGGCTAGTTGAACAGAGCAAGCTTAATCACATAGACTTTGAAATAGTTCCACACCACATTTTATACAAAGTGTTTTGGACTCTCACAGAGTTTTACCATATTTCTCATCTGCTTGGTCACTGAGTACATAACAGCATCCAGAAGATGAAGAACATATTCCTAATTACAGACCTATTTTTTTTTTTAATTTGTGCATGCTTGCTCTGTTTCTACCATGTTACAAAGCATGTGTGGACTTAGAGGACAACTTGTAGGAGTAGGTTTTTTCCTTCTAACATGTGGATCCCAGGGAACAAACTGAGGTTGTCAGGATTGGCAGCAAGTGCCTTTACCTGTTTAGCCCTCCCAGCAGCCCCCAACTTTGGTATTTTATTCATTTGGTATTAAATGTACTTAACAATCAGTGTTGCAGACACCTGACCCATTAGAAAGCGTGTCCCACCTGTGGAATCTTGTTATGACTGCAGAACACTAGCCTGCCTTTTCCCCCAATGCACTTGGAGACCTGAAGAACCTGCATCTCCCTCTTAGCCTCCCTACTTCCTTTCTTTTCCTATGAAGTCACAATCATGTCCTGGTTCTTCTGAGTGAGAGATTTGCATTGCTGAGCACAGGCAAAAAGGGGACATCGGAGACCAACACCCCCCCCCATGCTGATTTCTGGAGTTCAAGCCTAATGTCCACTAGGTTGAGTCTGGAGACCATTTCCCCACTGAACCCTGAAGAAGGAACTCAGTGAGGAGTTGGGTCTGCAGCTGCTGTTTGCACCAGCCTCTCAAATCAAAGCCAAACCACACATCTGAAATTCTTCTATGTAAAGATAAATGCAGCCATTCAATCACTTGCATATCTTCTCTATCTCTTAGGGGAGCCTGGGAAGCTATGGCTAAAGATAAGCAGACAATGTCACAAACAGTGGCAAACAAAGCAGGGGAATGTCTCCTAATTCTTCCTCTTCTACATGAAACACGAAGGAGAAAAGCAGGACAGGAGGAGTCCAGAACTTTCTGTGATCTTGGGACTGCATGAAAGCAGCGCTGCTTTTTCATTTGTTCAAAACCTGTTTTACAGGCCTGTGATCTTCCCTTTGGGGGTGGGGGGGTTGGCATCTTATTTCTATGATAAGCAAAACACAGGACTGTGTGGTGCCAATGTGGAAACACAGTGCTGGTGGCTGTGAAGAGCGGCAGACTTTCCCTGGTGGGTGTGTGCACAAACACACCGTGGTGTGTGTGTGTGTGTGTGTGTGTGTGTGTGTGTGTGTGTGTGTGTGTGTGTGTGTGCAAATACACTGTGCCTGTACCCCAGAGCCACAACTCCTGTCACTAGACACTACAGCATTGTCATTTGAATGGGACAGAGCAAAATCTCCTTCCCACTGCTGTCCAGGAGCAGTCCAGGAGTGGTCCAGAAGGGCCCTTGTTCTCTATGACTTTAAGGCATTTTTACTTGTTTCATTAAAGACTGACTTCAGGGTGTGTGTGTGTGTGTGTGTGTGTGTGTGTGTGTGTGTGTACCTTAAATCAGCTTTGAATAGATTTATTCAGGGGGAAAAATGTGAAAATACATTTAGAGCTTTTTAAGTATCTTTAAAGGACTCCTTAATTTTTCCCTTTGTGCTATGGGATACGTTCAGGCAAGTTAACATCTTTATTGCTTTGAATTCTGTCACCGGGTTCCCCTTAATTCTTACAAAGAAGCACAACTGTTGGGTTCCTTAGGCACACCTGGAGAGTAAAAACACTGAAAAGAAAATAAGGCCATTAGGAGTGAAAGTGGCTGGTTACTGAAGAAAGGCATAAATTCGGAAGCATTCTGAGTGTGCATATTAACAAGTCTGAATGAAGCATAAAATTGGCAGCTTTGTTGAAATGATAACAACTCTGAAGGTTTGATTGAAGATGTTACTAATTCACGATCACCCTTAATCTTACCTTCTTTTTTCCTGTCATGTTCCATTCTTTAAGAACTTGAATTGCACTGCCTAGATAAAGAGAAAGAGTGTTCAACAAATATCCCCACAATAAACGAGACAGAAAATTCATCTGTGCGGTGGTAGCAATGGGGGGGGGCTTCTTCATTTATTTTGATACAGCCTACCTTAATAAAAATGCCAGTTTCATTTCTCATTTCCAAGATTTTCATTTAATTCACTGCAGAATCTTGGTTTTATAAAAATATTAAGCCCTACTTCGTGAAGCTTACTTTTTTTTTAACATGATATTGTCTCAGGGAATATGAAATATATCTTGAGAATTTTCTGATAGCTTCATTGCCACAGGTAGAATTAAAATTGTTCTGTTTGATACATGAATAAAGTACTATAATCTCTTGAACCAAACATGGGATTTCCCGTGTTATTAACCATGACAGTTGGACATTTCTCTGCGGCCACCCTTTCTCCATTTTTACTCTTAATCATTATGTTCAAGATTTGCAGGGGGCTGAAGACGACAGACCCTGTTGTAGCTTTCTCTCCATCCACCATGAAAGGATAGAATGTATTCTTTACAAGGCTTCCATTTCAAAACCAACAAAGTTCATTGAACAACTAATTGCATCCCAGGCTCTGCCTGGCCCAGTCACATACATAACCCTGACCTGATGAAGTTAAAGAAACATGTCATCACTGTCAACTATAGTCAGTCTCCACACATTTTAACCAAGTCAGGTGATTCCATCTAAGCAGGTACTTCTTCAAGAGGGTGGGGCCCAAGTAGTCCAACAATTTTATGCATTCTCAGATCACACTACACTGACAGCTGTCTACAAGGTATTGGATAACCAGAGATTAACTTTGAGCTGGTCTCTATGATGAATTTAGAATTAGTAGGCCTGTGTGATTGATGGCGCTAACAGAAGCTGAAGGCCACAGTGTTTAGACAGACTGTCACTCCTCTTTATCCAGAGTTTCCAATTGAGCATCCTTCTTGTCTTCTTTGAGTTGCATGCACTTGAAATAACAAGGTTGCACCCAAAAGTAAACTAGAATTTACTCCTTCCTTCCTTCCTTCCTTCCTTCCTTCCTTCCTTCCTTTCTTTCTTTCCCTCCCTCTTTCCCCCTCCCTCCCCCTCCCTCCCTCCCTCCCCCCTTCCTCCCTCCCTCTCTCCCTTCCTCCTTTCCTTCTTTCCTTCCTTTTTTCTTCTTTTGGTTTTTTGAGGCAGGGTTTCTCTGTGTAGCCTTGACTGTCCTGGAACTCTCCCTGTAGAGCAGGCTGGCCTCAAACTCATAGAGATCCACCTGCCTCTACCTCCTGAGTGCTGGCATTAAAGGCATGCACCACCATGTCCAGCCATGAATTTATAACTTTTATTAACTGGGTTGGTGTTTCTCTAATTTACCAAAGGAGTTAATATTTGTCAATAATTTCCAAATAATGGGGCATTTATTACCTGTTGGTTGCTTATCAGTTGCTCTTACAGCTAAGCTTCTACTTTATAAATAAAATTAAACTTTACAAAGCTGTTCTTATAGGAAGGAAGGTTGCTGCCTTTGCAGTTTGACACCTGTCTCTCAGTTTTGAATTTTGGCATCGATCTTACTTGTAATTTGGACAATGAGCTTACATAAAGTAATTGTCAAGAAATACTCTTACTTACAAAGGATTTTGAAAGCATTGTTATTAAATTTTAACTGTGTCTAAGGTGCTTGTAGGTGTTTTCTGTAAGCTGTTTGGATTTGTGATTTCAGTGTGCCCCACAAAAGGCACTCAATGAATATTTTTTTGACTCTTCTGGGTTTTAAGCAACTCTTCCCATTGGTTTACAACTAAACAGATGAAGATCCTCAGCAATCAGTGAACTTTAGTGAGGTCTTGACATGGACAAACTGAGAACTCCAGCAGCAAGACCCTGCATTGAGATTCCTGAAGCTTTGACTACAACCCATTAGCTGCTGGCCTCTGAGGTCACTGTGTAAGAGAAACCCTTCACAAGCTGGGGTGAAAAGGGATGGGCAAGCAGCCCCAAACATTTTTCTGAATCTTTTCCCATTCAAGTGATGCGGCAAGGAAAACCTGACAGGAGAATTTTGAATTTCTCCGTTAAGATGTGCATATTTACAAAATTTAAATAGGGTGTGTGTGGGGGGGGGTATCACATCTACCATTTGGTCCTAATGACTGCAGATTGTACATAGAAATCTTCATAGAATGCACAGTCAACAAAGCAGGGCAAACAGTGAGAAGTTTCACACAGTAGATTTGCTTGCAGGTTTGTAAGAAGGATCATCATCAGTTAATTAGGACCCGAAAGCCTCAAGTGCTGACACAGAATGTGGGCACAGGGCTTGGCTTCTGGATCTTGCCCTGAGATGCTATTATATTTGCAGAAACTCAAGAGGGCTATTGCACTCCTCGAAAATGAAGGAAATCATGCTGTCCTTGACACCGTGTGAAGAAGGTGTTGCTGAGATATGTGCTGGCTTGTCTTTCCGACCTGATTTGTCAGGTTGCGTTCAGCTAGTCCATTATTTACAGAACAGAAAAACATGCCGGGAAACAAGGCATAAAATAACCATGACAAGACAGAGGTCTTTATTCAAAACAAAACATTAAGAAAGACAATTTCTCTACAATTTACAGAAAAGATATCCAGACTTGTAAATGTGAAAAGTAAACACTTTTCAGAATTGAGGTTCTACAGTACCATGGGAAGGCACTTGCTAAAAACCAGATGTTTTTCCCCTAAGAAACCAGAAATCAATTAAGAGATAGATGAACTGATAGTATGATTAACTGTGTGATATAAGTAACTATCACAATCAAAAACCATTACAATGAGGAACTCAGTCCACTCAAACTTCCTGAGCATGGGACTTCAGAGTCATAGCCATGACACTCAGTAGACCTCTGTTGTTGAAGAGATAATGTCTTCCAGGTCAGCAATGTTGTCTACTCACAAGGATACCATCACATAAAGGACATTTTTAACAAATTGAAATAATGGCAAAGAAACCAGTAGCTTATAATTAGTACCCTTTAGGTCTTCACAGTCTTATTTTAAACAGAAAGGAAAAGACCTTTCTGTATTCTGCTCTTACAATGTCTACATTCTTTTGAAATCTATTGTGCTTTTTAGTTTATTTGTTTTACTTATCGAGATGAGGTTTCATTATGAAGTCCCAACTGGCCTACAACTCCGGGTCTCATTACGCATCTCTGCCTGGTCTGGAACTCACCATGTAGACCAGAATGTCCTTGAACTTATAGAGATCTGTCTGCCTCTGCCTCCAGAGGGTGGGGATTAAAGGTATGTTGTGTATTGTATTCTTCTTATTATTTTTTTATGAGAAGTATTGGAAAGTAAGTAATGTTCAGTCCATTTAAGGGAAAACACAGGGTATCTGGCCTAATGAGCTGCAACATTTTCAGTTTCAGGCGGGCATGTATACGTACCATCCACAAAGGCTTGCACTGCTTTATCCACATTAAAATCAAATTGTTGTAGCACCAGGACGATTTCATTATTGCTTTTGTTCGGAACAACTGATCTAACTGCATAGATCTACAAGAAAAGGAAAAGAAAAGCAGAAAGGTAAATACCCAAGTATTGTTCACCTACAGATCTCCTGCTAGATAGAGCAGAATTATAACTTAGAAAGGCCCTGGAAAGCTAACCATCTATCTTCTTGCCAACAAGCATACTTCAGGCCTTTCAGAGAAGCGAGCATTCATCTGGGGGTAATCACCTTGATGCCTACTTTATTTGTATACACACCTCTACAGAGATCTCCTTGTAAAGCTGTAAGATCAAGTGTGCAAAGCCAACTCTGGTTTGGCAGTCAACCATCTCGGAGACTGAGATGCATACAAGATGTGTTCTCAGTGAGGACACAGAATCTTTTTCTGTCTCCAGCTTCCTTTCCACTGGCTCGGGGGTATCTTTAGAAAACATACAGAAATAGCTTCATGCCTCAGCTTCTCTCTGGGCACAGTGGAAGCAGTCATATAAGGGTCACAGAAGTGTGCTGTGAAACTCTGTCAATGTTTATAAAGACAGGAGAATACAGAGAGCTACACTTGTGAAATGGTAATTCTAGCTATATTACAGAAAATGCTCTCAAACACCCTTCTGGAAAAAAAAAAAAAAAAAAAAACCTCAAACAGAGTAAAAGTAAACATGTATGAGCCACGGATTCTGATGCTCAAGAGTGTTCAATCCTTAATGACGTAGACGCCTTCCTCCATCAAATCAATCATGAATTCTTTCTGGTTGCCTGCTAGAATTAATTGACCTTTATCTCAAAGAACTTGTGGTTATTACAGACTGTTGTATGTCTTCTAGCAGAACCTATCTCACCTTTTTATTATGAAAAGGATTTCTGTGCTAACAAATGCTAGAGCAATGCACGGGGCAGCAGGAAGTCCTCATTAAAGAATTGTACAATCTATACATGATCCACTCAGAGTTAAATCAGGACCAGTGAGCTTTAGAGTTAAATGGATTTTGATATAATTGGATTCATGGGGTATGGATTATAGAAGCATGGTAATGTGTAATATGACACTATTGACCAGACATTTAACTGAGCAGTACAGACTATTTCTTGATTATGTTAGAAAATAGGCAGCCTATTCCACACAGATCTGTATTTGGGTTATAATGAGAAAATAGCATAGGCTATGGGCACAGGACTTGTAGAAATGTTGACATTATTGATCAGAAGATTGGTTTCAAATCCTGACATTTAAAAATACTAAATATTTGGGCTTTGCTGAGTTACTAATAGAATATGTGCTTGTATGTGTCACTCAGTACTCCTTTGGGTTTTTAATATTCTCACATTTTATGGTTCTTAGTTTCTCTAGACTTCATTAGAAAACCGACTCTTCAACATCTAAGTCCTTCACTGCTTAAAAAGCACAGTTCAGTTAATGCTATTTATTTATTTTAGATAGGGCCTCATTATATGATCTCCAATTCTCCTGTCCTGGCCTTCCAAATGGCAGACATGTGTCACCAAAAT